AGTTTAAAAAAATTAACTTTTTTAATTGATAAAATATAAAATAATGCTTGTGATGGCTAGTAAATAAAATGTTCTTATTATAACTGAAAATTAATAATTATAATTATAACACGCCTAAAATAAAAATACATACTAAAATCTATAACTCGTTTGCCTAATAATTATCTTTTTATACATTTATTTGAATTTAAAAGTAACATTTTTAGTGTCCTAAAAACTGTAATTTTGTTTCATTACACTAATAGTTCCTTTAAGCATATAAAACTAAAACTACCATGTCTCATAAAACTTGATATAATATGGATGTATAAAAGTGAGCTTATTAATTTAATTTTTGAATCAAATAAATGCAAATAATAATTTAATAATCAATTTATCTTTTACTCTGAATCACTTTTAGTGCTTACCACACAATGTATTTTACAATTCACTAAAAATTGCTATGATACGACTAACATATAAGCTACACAATACTAACATATGTATTTATAGTAATTTATATTATTCAAAATTTGAAAAAAATTAACCTATAGTCTGACTTAATATGGACGATTTTTTTTTTTAAGTGACAAAAACGTATTGAAAAGATTAACGCAAGCCAAATTTTGCAATACTTTTCACTATTGCTTATTTAGTATTTACAAAATTATTAAAAAAGTAATTTAAGTCGAGACACAAAATGTCTAAGATAATAAAAATTAAATGGGGTAAATCGTTGATTGTAAAACCATGCTAGAGTCAAAATTGTAAGTCCAAGTCTACAATATAACGAATATACAATACCCTAAAATGTATTTCTTAAAGAAAATAACTGTTGTTCAGAATGTGGTGTAAGTATTAAAAAATAATGAAATGCACTAGCCAATGTGAAAACATATATAGTATTTGAAAATTCATATGTGAAAATAAATTTAAAATCAAAAAATAATGAACATAAGCAATATTTGCGTATTATAATAAAATAATGATTCATGGTTGTATAGTCAAAACTATTTTTACAATTCTAACCAAGTTATCTTTATTTTATCTTCCGGGAAATAAAACAACCTAAAAATAACTCACATAATATCGGACTCAACTACCCATCACTGCAACTATTTAATGTATGCTAAATTGAATATGTGCATAACTCAATAACATTGTTTGTTATAACGGGTTGGGACGTTTTTATGGAGTTCAATGTAAAATAAAAGGTTTGAACTGTGCCCTGCGGGATTTTCAGTACAGTTAATTTATAATTAGTGTGTAGTCCCGGTTATCACGGCTTTCACACACCCAAGATACCGAGAGCTAAACAATACGGTCCATTACAGAATTGTTGATTCCATTAAGGACCTCGAGATTATGGAACCACAGAAAAAAAGTTAATGAATTTAGATCAATTTTCAAAATTAAACATGGTCATCTTGAATTATGAGTATATTAATCTATATTCATTGCTTGTTAGTTATTCTTATATTACATAATATGTTGGAATATAATTCAAGTAGCATACTATGTTATTGAATCCAACTATTTACTAATTATAAAACCCAACAGTATTTTTGAAAACATTTTTTATCTTAATCATTTTTTTAAGTTTTTCACTTTTTGAGTCACAAATCATTTTTTTTATTTCATATTTTTTCTAAAAATGTCACTATATAAAAATCGAATTTTCAACGAGATGCTCTAGTTACCTATAATAATAGAATATTTAGTATTAATAATAGAATATTTAGTATTTATAAGTTTCTAGATAGTAAATATTTACTATTTACTGTTATAACTTAAAAGAATTAACTTATGTGCATAATATGATTACCTGGATTATGTATAACGATCTTGCATACAACTCCAAACTTAAAACTAATAAAATGATGTTTTAAATTCCTATTTATATTTTTTATTAATTGGAATTTGCAATTAGACACAACAATTATTTTTTTAATTTAAATTAAATGGTAGGTTTTATATTATTTTTAACTTTTAAATAATAACACTCGAGACTCCAGTGTTTCATATTAGTGTATCTAGTATTAATTTAATGTTAATTTCCCTTAAAATATTGTTACAGATATTTCTATTCTACCTCCTACATAATTAATCAATTTAAATTTTAAAGATAATCTACATAGGCTCTACACATAAATTAATATTGTACATTTCGTTTGAGTGACTTAAAAAGGTATACATTTTGGTAAACAAAAATACATTTTTATTTTCCAGATTACATGAATACTAATATTATTATAATGCGTATTGTATAATGTATACACATACAATATTCCAAAATGGAATTCTGAGCGCTTTTACAAAAACTAGCTGCAAAACGATATGTTTGCTATAACAAAACAAAAGATTTACACCCTCTTTCCCATTAACATCCCAACCAAAATGACATTCCGTTATTTGACACTTCCGCTGTATAATAGTTGGCATTTCCCCTATAATCTATCTATTTTCAACTAAAAGCTATGGAAATACATTTTCATACAAATATTTTTCTTCTAAAATAAAACAACTCTACTATTGTTACGCTTGAGTATTGCCTTGAATAGTTCTCGTCAATTACATTTATTTTAATTAAATATCGAATTGTAAAATTGTATCTATTTGGTGTTGAATTCATAACATATACCTTACCTATGACATATTACCACTGACACTCTAACTAAATATACATTTTTTTTTACAAATAATTTGCATGTTAATATGTTTTTATTATTAGATACATAACAAACAGTCATCGTTGTGAATATCATTATTGTTTGAAGTATGGATTAACCTAATTTTTTCGAATTTGTTGAGCGACAAATAATATTTAAATAATATTGTTTATAAATCCATGAATAAGGATGTATTTTAAAATTATTGAACTAAGTAGAATACAAAAATAATATGAAACTCAAATATATTTTTGTTAATATAATTAGTAATTAAATCAAAAGTACTTAAAAAGTAAATTATAATAACTACCTAGGTATCCACAACAATCTAAAATACACAAACGGTAATTTTACAAAATACCTACAGTGAATTCACCTTTGTGGGATTTTTAGAATATAATATTTAAAATATTTTTGACTTGAAATTAAAGGTAAAATTATTTTCGAAACAAAAATCACATATTTTATGAAAACTAAAAACTTTACATTGTATGCATAGTATATATAGTAGAATGCAAATTAATTACTTAAAGAAATATTTTGATGTGGTTGGCAAACTTAATTCATATCTTTGAGATTTAACCTTAATTACTTAAGTAAATATAATTAACATGACGTAACATTTGTCTTTCCAACATGTTACATTGGTACCTTAATTGCTAATATATAGTATACTTGCATATAGTTTCAAATATATTACTGATTAGTCATTCAGTGTTAAATACTTTTTTCATTAACATTGGTCTTTCACTAATTATTAGTATAGAGTATTAAACTAATTTTTGTTGCAATTTAAATAATATGTTTATAAATTTGTATCAACAAACTTTTATTCTGAATAATAATTTTTTTAAATAGGTATCTAAAAAGTTAAAAAGCCTTCAATAGTCAGTTTTTTAAAATATAAGTAGGCAGTTAAGTATTTCAACCGTGTTTTGATGCACTTAAATTTTTAAATATAGCTGACATTGAAACAATAATTCACTCTTTCTAATTACATTATCTATCTAGTAAGCCAGAATTATTATTTAACTATCTATCTACTACATTTATTTGCCACTTACTTAATTAAGATTCATCAAGACTCAAGTTTTAATCATAAAATAGGTGATTAAAATATGAAATACCCAGGCGACCGGGTAAGTAATATACTATTATAAACAAACTGTGCATGTTACATGATTTATTTTTAATTAGATATTTAATACGTATAATAAAATAATGTAATAATATCTAATATAACATAATATGTAAATAACGAGAATTCCTATGAAAAAATAAGAGCCATTTAAAATCATCAATTTGCATCAAATGTACGGTAAAAGAGCATTGTGACAAAGAATAAAATTTAATTGTACGTTATAAATATAAAAACACAAAAGTAAAAATATTTTTAATAATTTCTAAACAGTATTTTTTTATCTATTTATTTCATATAAAATGTATATTAAACTAACCAATTAAACATACAAAAGGGTAAACCACTTAAATGATTGACAATTATTCGTGAGTAAGGTCACCAAGAAGGGATCGTTTAACTAGCAGAGATGATTTTTGGAAAATGTGTGTGTATATGTAATTGTATAAGGTATTATGAACAAAATTTCCCAAAATAATACAACTTACAAAAAACAATGTTTATTATCTTAGGTACATACCAGGCATTCAGCGGAGTGAACACATTATTATATATGCTTTTATACTGTGAATACAGTTTTTTCATTAAAAATCGAAAACTACATAAGGTTAGAGTGAGTCAAACACCGATCATATTTGTAAAATGTGTATGATAAACAAATTTGTAAATATTAAAAAAAAAATTTTTAGGCACCAAGGACCATAAATAGTTAGAGATTTTTTTTGGTGAGGTTAATTATTATCTTTATTCACATGTATTTATATTACGATTAATCATTAAAATATGTCGATATTCAACAATTATTATTGCTAAAATATATTTTTTATACAAATGAAATACCTTCGAAAATGTTCATACACAATTTATTATCTTCTTTGGATGTAAGTATACCGACTACCTACACGTAATATTAATACGTAAGTAGTATAGACTCGAACCTAGATTATTCAAATTATGATACTATAAAAATATGTTGTGAAAATGCACGTATTTTAATCACGAACAAGTCATTTAACTTTAATGTCGTTACTTTTTGAATAAAAAGTATGCAAATTATACATATATAATTTTTTTTGCATATTTGAAATCCAATAAAACGGCCCATTAAACGATCGAATAAAACTATTCAACGCCTTAACATCTACTCGTATACATATATATATATATGCATATTTAAAGCAATACTGAGATATTTAAAATCTAAAGCCACTTACAAATTGTCCACGTGCTCCATTCGTGAACCTCGACTGCAATTAGCATTAGACTCGAAGAACCATGCCGCGTTCCGGTGAGGTGTATAATTTATTTTCAGTGCACATGACGATGGAGTTCAATAGTAGCGTAGGAAAAGAGTACGAAATTGTGTTATGAAAAAAAAAACGGATGAGATTGTTGTTTGTTGTTATTGTAGTCGCGGCCACCACTGCGCCGACTGCGGCTGAACTGTGTCCTGGACGCGCGGATTCCGGCAGTGAGAGTCTGACTCGAAAAAGTGGGAAATTCCGGAGGAAAATCCTTTAAAAAAAAAAAAAAAACAATTTTCTAGGCCGAAAAAAAGCCGCGACGGTTGCGTAATATTATTGGCGTGAGCTCGCTGCTGTCGTGTGCGTGTGTCTGGTGCAGTCGGTTGCGGTCGGCAAAGCGCGCGTTTTACCACTGAAAAACCGTACAACTCGCGTACCGTGTTGGCGCGTCCAAAAAACACGTCTGGCCGCCGCACCTGCGTAAACGCCCTGCACGCGCCGCGGCGGCGGCCGGTGGCGCAACGCGGCGGTTTCAAGTGTCATTCGTTCGTTTGTTCGTTCGTTCGTTCGTACCGCGTCCCAATTTTTAACGCAACTTACCGGCCGCGATACCGGAAGAGAATGAGAGAAAAGAAAAATTACAAGTCGTCGTCGTCATCTCTGTGTCATCCCTCAAACCGGGTTTGGCTCGATAGCGGTGTACAGTAATAACTGTAAAGTGTGGCCCGCCAAGCGCGCTCGGCCCGGTTCTTTCTTCGATAATAAATTTATTAAATTTTTGATTTTTCGCAATTATCGAGTGTAGGTACATACAACCGAATAGCGATCCGCGTTGAAAACATTGGTATTTGTCAAGTTATTGGAACATTCCATGTGGTTAGTTCAAAAATATAATTCCAACTCACGGAAAAACAAGTACATCTTTGAACGTTTCACTGAATGACAAAAAAGAAAAAAATCGTGTCTTAAATATTATAGGTATTCCTACTATAATAAGAGTAAACTATAATAATCTAACCTATATGGAAATGTTATACTTTATATCATTTCATAATTTTAACGATTTGACTTTCCCAAGTTATTACTGCGGGTAATGGTGACAGCTACTATGGGTCAGTCATACGTACATTTATCATATTCAAAATCATGTTCTTCAGTATTTAGGGCTATATTGAAGCAAATATTTTTTGTAATTTACTCAAAATTGAATTAACATTAAATTTAAAATCTACGAACTTGAAGGTATGAAGAATCTCCGAAAAACTTTTATTTTGTGTAAAAAATGTTTTAATGTGAAAACAATGAAGTGTACTCGCAGCGAAGATTTTGTTTTGTTCTCACTTTGTTTCAACTTTAATGACCTTTCGATGTATGAATTTCAGTATTGACACGATATATGTGAATTTTTCAGTGACATTAAAAGTATCTTTGTAGTAAATTGGCACCAGCTGCCCCTCAAACACCTATAAAATTGAAACATCATAATACAAAATTCAACATTTTTTCGTGACAATTTTTTCTTCTTCAATATATACTTGAAATCCCAGAATTATCATTAAAACGCTTAAGCGCTTACCTCAATTTCATTTCTTATCTTTTAACTGTACTATCTTTGCAGTGGATCATAATTTCTCATTAATTTCCATCCGTTTTCCCCTTTACCTCACATTAAATCACGAATTTGTCAACGTGACAACTCACTCAATTTTCTATAGGCATAATAATCCCCTATATTCCTTCATAACATTTTAATAATACTGGCCTTGACCTATAACCGAGTTATAACTTATAGTTATTTATGTAAGTCACTTATAAGGCGTTTAACTATAATTATGTGTAAACATCATCCTATAATTTTTTATTTTTGTTACTTACATACTTTTTATATTTTTTCATAACCTAATAAACTACAGTAGTAATGTACAACATTAAATTATTAAAAAATATAATTATTTTAAGGTCGATCTATTGGTCTTTGTTTGGTGGTCTCTATACGTATTTATATTTTAAAAAAACGATCATTAACAGATCACGTGGATATAAGCACGTGTCGATGTCAATAAACTTAATTTTTTTTTAACATCGACTAAAAGTGCCGGTCATAATCAATCATTATTTCTAGTAAATTTTATCATTGCCTAAAATATCATCTCTGATGGTTAACACCAGCCAGTGAATGGTGAGTGTATAATATGCTGTTTCACATCTCCACGACGAGACGACGTTTAAACACATCACGTATTTTCTTTTAGTGGAAGGGGTGGGTTAGAAAGACGTTTTAAATCCGTCATGTCATGTTTTATAGATGTTCGGAGGTCTGGTCGGAATGTATTGCTGTTTTACGACGATAACGGATTTTTTTTCTTCTAGTCGGTTACGCGCGTAATCGCGTTTTCGAGGCGGCGGCGAAAAAGATTGGAAATCGCGTCTCTGTAATATACAGTAGTCGAAGACGTCGTTTTTCGGCGTTCAAAATAAGTTTCTTCCATATAGACGTGGTCCACGGACGTGAGGAAAGACCATACCGAGGTCCGAGTTAATCCCACATCTGACTCAGACTTTTTCACCGATCACTCAGTATTACCGATCATGCGCCAACATCGTAGAGAAGTGCAATGTTGATCTATTATTCTGATTGAAACATGATTGAATAACTTAAAATTGAGTGTTTAATATTTTTTATAAGGTTCGAATAAAATCATTAATCAAAATTGTTTTTATTATTATAATATCGGTAGAATGACGAAATGTTGCGGCTATAATATGATATTTATATAATATAGGTACCTACTTAATATTTATTTTGAAAAGTTACACAATGCTGTGGTGTAAGAGTTGAAATATTTCAACATAAGATAACTTCATAATACCAATATGGACCTATGGTATTCAAATATGGGGCCCAGCGAAACCAGCTAACATCCACCCCATTCAAGCCTTTCAATCCATCTCATTAAGTCTCTTAACCGGTGCTCCGTGATATATCACAAATTCAGCTCTCCATAATGACTTAAAACTTTCAACAGTAAATGAACTTGCTAAAAGCCACTATAAAAAATTCCATTCCAAATTAATTAACCATTCTAACTCCTTTATCAACAACATGTCTTCTCTCACATTAACGATTAAAAAGAAATTGGGCTAGAGACCTTCTAAACCAAACATTTTAATTCGTTAGTTATTATGAACGCCAACAACTTAGAATCTTTTTTTTTTTTAACATTAATTTGGAAAATATACAATCTGTAGGGGTAATTTACAATAAGCATGTATGCGGTGTTTATGTGTTTTTACGTGAATTTACATGAGTTTAAGGAACTACCCAACAGTAGTACTTATGACGTGGGGTTACTTAGAATCTTAAAAATCTAATGCAAGTTTCGCTTAAAATCATCGATTGAAAGCAGGGACTTATCATTGTTTTCAAATTTAAAGTGGTACTACACCTGCAACACTCTTCCCCGAGTAGAGTGAAGCGCGACGAGTTACCAACACGCTTATTTAGTCGAACCCTGTCATTCAGTGTAAACTGACGTCATATACCAACAACCCTTAGAAAGTTATGCCACACAATTACGTAATACTGACTTTGGAGGCAGGCAAAATAAACTATTCCGAATGAGGGGATGTAGTTATTCGACAGTAAATGTTTGATGATAATTATCATTATTGCACGGTGAGAGTTTCGTTGACCCAACCCGACGGCAACATGGTGATAACCACACACTATACATAGGTATATTACCTACCCTCCACTCACGGTCAAGCAATAATGGGTATCAAATCGGCTACAATAAACATTATTTTTTTCTACCTAAGCCCCAAACCATAATTACGCGCTCGCAAAATATAAGCCCGGCGACCGACCCATTTTATGCTGCTTGTCCGAACACGATCCGTACCAGCAAAGAAATTCATATGAATATTAAGTATAAACTTGTACCATGTAACAGTTGTGATTGAAGCAGTATACCTGTATTACCTACATGTACAGTCTGTTTTTATATTTTTGTTTTATGTGTTTCAATGATTTTAATAATTATTCATTATTATTATTTGGTTATACTTTTGTATCGCGAATGGTAGCAATTCTTTATAAAAGTGAATTGAATAGTTTTTGGAAGCATAAATCACGTGCCCAATTCGGTAAAAAAAATAGCTATTTTTAATAATCATAAATCATAATATTTTTACATATTGTTTTTCCATTATATTTAAATCTAATATAGAACTAATGTAAATCACATCATGTTATTTTATTAAAAATAAAATATACTCTTTATTTAAACATATACATTTTAGAATACAATTTAAAAATCGAGCTTACAGAGTTGTCAATATTTTATAAGTATTTTAATTTTAACCCATTTAGTTATGTAATAATAATAATAATAATAATAATATATATTTTGCAAAAACAACAAGTGACACATTGTATAAGTACGTAAAATAATTATTTGCAGCACCCCCTAAAAGCAAAGCTTGTGCTGGGGGAGCGGTTCTTATATTATATTACTTAAAATAAAAACATAAATAATAAATTAGTGATAGTTGGCATTAAGAAGTAGCAGAGTATAGATATACAATATTTTAAACAGAGTAAAAGATAAGAGTATTTAGAACAAAATTAATTATAACAACATATTAATTATATAATAGACAGATCAAGATTTTTAACATACTTTTTGAATGATTTCAAATTATCAAAATGTACCTTAGTACATTTGATATTCCATTCTATACAACATACTATTTTACATAGAATTCAAGGAACTTGTGTTTGGGTCCACCCCAACTCAGTAAAAATACAGAATTGTATTTTGCTACGCTTTTTATTTTTATAATAACTGCAATACGTGTATCCTGTATCGTATATTTATTTTTGAAATTAACATAATATTATACATAAGCCAATGTTTAATATTTTCTAGTTGATGCATCTGGTTCATCATGCATAAGTAGTACTTTCAAAAAATTGTATATATTATATAATTACATACTCGTAATATGATACTTGTACAAATTGATTAAATAATAATTGATTGCATGTCAAAAATATTATGGTGGAACATGATGGAACTTAAATTAATGTTGATATCGATTGTCAGCATTATCTTCAAATGCATTATATTCGTATAGAATATATAAAATAAACGATATTGTTAATTTTTTTGGTTTGTAAATATATAAATTTTGTTTAAGTTCCAACCATCAAGTATCACTTATAATTAGCGATAACTAATTTTATCTGTATATAATTGTTTGTCCTGATTATATAATAGAATAATAAAGTTTTACTTATTATAAGCTTATATTAAAAGCCTATAAGTTTAACTCATGTTCATTTTTTGAAAATTATAATTGTATTTGTTTAAATAAAAAAAAATTGTATTATTTTAAAATTTGTCTTTATTTTTCTTATAACAAAACAA